TTGAGCCCAGGAGTTGGAGGTTGCTGTGAGCTGTGATGCCAGGGCACTCTACCCAGGGGGACAGCTTGAGGCTCTGTCTCAAAAAAAAAAAAAAAATCACAGATTTTCTTTTCCTTATTTTTTAAATACTTGTCAGTCATCTGGTGATAGAAAGTCAGGAGATTTTCATATTGGGTAAAAGATGGACTAACTCTCCAGTCATAAAGGCTCAGAGAGGGTGACAGCAAAAGGTTGGAACAAAAGATATTAAATGAATCCTAATTAAAAGAAAACTGGAACTTGTATTTCAGCATGTTAGGAGGCTAAGGTAGGAAGCTAAACTCCAACCCTAAAGACCTGCCTAGGCAACATATCAAGACCTTGTTTCTGCAAAGAATATTTTTACATTAGCTGGGCTTGGTGATGGGTGCTTATGGTCCCAGAAGCTCAGGAGGCAGAGATGAAAGATTGAGAAGTTAAAGGATTTAAGTATTCTATGGTCATGCCCTGCATTTCAGCCTGGGAACAGAGCAAGACCTTACCTCTTGAACTAAAAAAAGAAAAGAAATAGGAATAATTACATTACTGTCAGACAAAGTAGACAGTAAGTGTTATTAATGATAACAAAGGGCCAGGCACTGTGGCTCACATCTGTAATCCTAGCACTCTGGGAGGCTAAAGTGGGCAGATTGCTTGAGCTCAGGAGTTCGAGACCAGTCTGAACAAGAATGAGAACCCTGTCTCTAAAAATAGCTGGGCATTGCAGTGGGTGCCTGTAGTCCCAGCTACTTGAGAGGCTGAGGCAAGAGGATCACTTGAGCCAAAGAGTTTGAGGTTGCTGTGAGCTATGACACCAGTGGCACTCTATCCAGGGTGTCTCAAAAAAAAAAAAAAGATAACCAGAGTGCTACATAAAAACAGAAGAACAAGATCATATAATTCCACACCTATATGGCTCCAGATAGAAAGCAAAAATTGATAGGCTTACAAAGGAAGATTTGACAAATCCACAATCATACCTTGGTAACTGATCAAGGGAATAAAAAACTTATAATGATACAGATATTTACAAAACACAATTATCATGCTCAATTTAATAGACTATATATACAATGGGAGAATTATTATTATTTTTTTGAGACAGATCCTCAAGCTGTTGCCCTGGGTAGAGTGCTATGACATCACAGCTCACATCAACCTCCAACTCCTGGGCTCAAGCGAGTCTCCTGCCTCCGCCTCCCGAGTAGCTGGGACCACAGGCGCCCGCCACAATGCCTGGCTATTTTTTGGTTGCAGCCGTCATTGTTGTTTGGCAGCCTGGGCTGGATTTGAACCTGCCAGCTCAGATGTATGTGGCTGGCGCCTTAGCTGCTTGAGCCACCACAGGCACTAAGCCTGGGGGAATTCTTTAGGGCAAGCACAGAACGTTTAAACAATGACCATGTAACAGTTTGTAAAGGAAATCTCAACAAATTTCAAGTGACCTAGATTGAGACTGGTCATCAAACTACAGCTCTTAACCATAACAGCCTGCTGCTGGCTTTTATTGCAGTTTTTTGGCTGGGGCTGGGTTTGAACCCACCACCTCTGGCATATGCGGCTGGTGCCCTACTCCTTTGAGCCATGGCACCGCCCCATGCTGCTGGCTTTTATAAATGTTTTACTAGAAAGCCACAACTGTCTACAGTAGTTTTTATCTTATAATAGCAATATTGAACAGCTGATAAAAAGCCTAAAAAAATTTACCAACTTGCCATTTATATAAAAAAAAGTTGGCTGACCCCTGGTCTTTCTACCACACAGGCCATAGTATGTGGCCACAAGTAGCTACAATAAAAATTAACACCATAAAGATAATCTTAAAAAGCCAGAAATTCATGTGCTAAGCATCCAGTACTATTAAACAGAAAAAGAACAATAATTTTTGAAGCAATAACAAAAAAAGTCAGAAATTATGTAAATAAAACCCAAATAAGATAGAGGAACAAAAGACCCAAAAGCTGATTCTAAAAAATGTATCAGACAAAACTTGGGAAAGACTAACCAAGGAAGAAAGAAAGAGAAGGTCCAAAGAAAAGCATTAAAGACTGGAGAGAGAGGCAGATGGCATGGGAGAGATTAAGATTAAGTAGAGCAATCTATAATGCATGATCTTACTGAGCCTTCCCAACAGTTCTTTAAGAAAGGAACTACTATTATACCTTTACTTTGCAAAGGAGAACATTAAACTCAGAACAGTCCTGTGACTTGACCAAGAGGTCCGACTAGAATACAGGTGGGTGTGTCTAACTAATAAGGTGACACCCCAGCCACCACACTATCCTGGGCTCTACAAGTATAGACCAATGGCTACAGCGTGGTGCTTACGCTTACCTGAAGGGTGGAGGGCAGAGGGGTAGAAGTCCACGGGGGTCCGTGTGGGGGTGATCCGAGGGTCCATGTACGAAGGCATCATCATCCACCTGGGGTCGAAGCCCAGCATCTGGGGATGGTGCGGGTAAAAGGTGCGCTGGGGGTGGGAGGGCGGAGGGTACACCGGCTGCCAGTGCTGCATCTTATAAAGTTGCTCCTGCCCAGGCAGAGAGAGCTGGTCAGGCTGACGCGGGATGGTCAGAGACACTTTCCAGCAGGCAGCACAGAAGCTCTCCCAGAACAGAAGACCAAAGATGGATGGGACGGCAGCTGCTCAAAGGGGAAGCCCCCCATGTTATAGCTCAGGCGGGGGGCCCTTGGGGGACAGTTAAGCCATTATCACACAGTGGCCCATTCACACCAATGTCACATGAGGGGGCTCAGTTTTCACTTAGATCAAACACTCCTGGTGACAAACCAGCACCCTTCCTATGGAATATCTACATGCTGGTCACTTCTTACTTGCTGCCACCACCTGTGGACAGGGGCCCCTCCTTTCTCTCCTCCACCTGGCCTCTTCAAACCACTCTCCACCCAGCCACCCCTGCAACCCCCATGCCCAAATATGTCAGCACCTAGCTCACCAGAGGCTTTAGTGGCTCACCACTGCTCTCACCAACCAGCCTGAACAGAGCAGGATACACATGATCTACAAGGTCTTATGAGACCTTGCTTGAGCTGTGCCTTCAGCTGTGACTCTAGGGCTTGCCCTCCACTCTCTGCTCCACACATCTCTGCCTGCCCACTTCAGGCCATGGCAACACGCTGGGACCTCTGCTAGGCTCTTCCCTATAACCATAAACTCAGGTATCTAGCTTAAAAAACACTTCCTGGCCAGGTATAGCAGCTCATGCCTGAGGCAGGAGAATCACTTGAGGTCAAGAGGTCAGCCTGAGACCCTATCTCTACCAAAAAATACAAAATTTAGCTGGGCATAACGGCATACCTGTAGTCCCAGCTACTGGGGTTGCTGAGGTGGGATGATCACTTGGGCTCAGAAGTGTGCAATTGCTGTGAACTGTGATTGCCCCACTGCCCTATAAACCAGGCAAAGGAGCAAGATCCCAACTACAAATACACAATATGCAACACAACACTTACTCTAGGACGGTGGTTCTCAACCTTCCTAATGCTGCGGCCCTTTAATACAGTTCCTGTGGGTCACGACCCACAAGTTGAGAACCGAAGCTTTAGGAGGCCTGTCACAATGAGACCCTGTTCTCTGCTCCCATGAAACTGCAGGTGCTCATCTGTAGCACTCTCAATAGTCAACTGTATTTTTTTTTTTTTTTTTAGACAGTCTTAAGCTATCGCCATGGGTAGAGTGCCATCATGTCATAGCTCACAACCACCTCCAACTCAGGCTCAAGTGATCCTCTTGCCTCAGGTTTTCTATTTTAGTAGAAACAGGGTCTCACTTTTGCTCAGGCTAGTCTCGAGCTCGTGAGCTCAAGCAATCCACCCACCTCGGCCTCCCAGAGTGCTAGGATTACAGGCGTGAGCCCCCAAGCCCAGCCTCAGTTAACTATTTTTGATGGTAGTATCCTTCGCTAAGTCCCAAGAGACTGTGCATGCCTAGCTGACAGTGGCATCCTTGCCCTTGGCACCACACTTCATATACAAATTAAATTATCTGTTGCACTAAAGGATGAACATGAAATATCAATGGAATATTCAAAGTTAAGGCACCTGATTCAAGAGAGTTCACTTCAAACCTCACTCTATTCCACTAGTGACCTCTGGTGCCAACTTCCTAAACAAACCCTGAAACAGCATCCCAGAAAGAATGAAGTGCTGAGTTAGACTCTGAGGACAACCTACCCAAGAAGCCTCTAGCACACCTACTTCTGTTCTGCAAACAAAAAAGCTCCCCAGCCAGGCTTGCAGTTCTCAGGCCCTCTGGGACTGGATTCCCTGTCAGCACCCCAGTCCCCTTTAGAAGCACTCAATAAACAGATGTCATCTGGCAAGACCAGTTCCAGCACACATAGCAGCTGCAAGCCTCTACCCCAAAGCTTTTCCTCCTGGCCATACCCCAGGTCCCACAGAATCTCAACAGACAGGCTTCCCTGTGCCTTTAGACACCTTTCTGTCCTTAAAGAAGGAGCTGCCCACCACTGCCTCCCCTACCCCTCCAAGGAGTTCCTGAGAGCAGCTGTCATGCTGTTTATCATGAGTAATTCCAGAGATCTCTCTCATCAGCAATTCTGCTCCAAGAACATGGCAACTGCGCGTTGCACACTTATACCATGATGCTGTAAAGTGCTATGAAGGCACCACTGCAACATTCCCAGTGGCCCAAAGAGAAGGAGCGGCCAGGCTGAAATTCTTTTTTTTTTTTTTTTTTTTTTGAGACAGAGCCTCAAGCTATCCCCCTGGGCAGAGGGCCGTGGCACCACAGCTCACAGCAACCTCCAACTCCTGGGCTCAAGCGAGTCTCCTGCCTCAGCCTCCCAAGTAGCTGGGACCACAGGCGCCCGCCACAACGCCTGGCTATTTCTTTTGGTTGCAGCCGTCATTGTTGTTTGGAGGCCTGGGCTGGATTCGAACCCGCCACCTTAGGTGTATGTGGCTGGTGCCTTAGCCACTTGAGCCACAGGCGCCGAGCCAGGCTGAAATTCTTAAAGGAAACTAAATGAGATAGTGGCAGAAGCTGCAGCCCTTGGTTTGTTGCTCCAGTGACACATTTTTCTAAAACATTCTCAGCAATATTAACAAAGGCATCTTGCACACCTTACTGCTGGACACGCACCAGGTGAAGCCTACATGTCATCTCATCCTCCCACCATAGCACACTTCTTCCTCAGGGAGGCTGACTTTCTTCCTTATTTCTTATACTCTAAGAAACACAACTGCTGTTGAGTGTTCAGGGGTGATCAGGACCAGGGAGACGGGTATGACCACAACCATTATCTGCATGATCTTCCTCTGGGCGAAAGGCAGGTCCCTTTTTAAAGTTTATAAAACACCAATAATGATACATTGCCAAGTCTGTTCATAGGGTCCCTGTCACACCGAGAGGCCAGCATCTGCTTGTCCAAGTTTCTGAAGAAACATGAGCTGGAGGAGCATGACTGTGCTGCTGGGATGGGAACTCACAAGCCTATGTCCCTAACCCCAACATGCCTCTGACTACTCTGGACACAGCTGGCAGACCTCTCCCAGTCAGAGCCACTGTTGTTGCACTATGGAGTATCCCAAGTGGACTACCGCAACGAAAAGGACCACTCTTCAAGACACTGACTCTTCCCACCTCCTAGAAGGCAGGACCAATAAAGCACAACAGGGCTGTACCTTGCACGGGGCCTTCAGCTCTTGGAGAAGTCAGCAATTGCGGGGGGCTGATTTACCAAAGCCACAAGTTTCAAGGTGTAACTCCTGACACCCATGCTGTTCACTATGCTTTTCACTGAAGGTGGGCATGGGGTAGGGGGGAGGAAGGCCATGTCTGGTCAGTAAGCAGGTCTGTGTCTGACAGCCTACGACCGTCTCATCCGTTTACCTGTTGTTGTTGCTGCTGCTGCTGGCGCTGGAATCTGGGAGGAAGTGACTTCTGATACTTGCTCAACTCCTGTGCTGGGGACCCAGCCTCCCTGGGCTCTTCCTCACTGCTATTGCTCTGAGCCCCAGCTGGAGACACTGTGGGTGCCTCTTCAGGGAACGGGGTGGGGGCTGCCTGGGCAGGGAGTTCCGGGGAGCCTAGAAACAAGCCACAGATAAACACCTCAGTGGGCTCAGAGAGGCTCAGCGGCCTTAAGGTTGACTGCAAGCACTTTTTCCTGCTGGCATTACTCTTCACACCTAGGCCACCCATGGCCCTGAACCTGGCACTGCACCCAGTGGGCCACATGCACGAGTTCAGGGTTCCTCACAAACACTGTAGGGAGGCTTCACTTACCACTGACTTAAAGGTGAGAAAACTTAAGGGTGGAGAAGCTGGGTGACTACTCAAGGTTACATGGTTAACGGCAGACTTGGGATCTAATTCCAAGTGAAGAGGTTTTCTTGAAAGAGGCATGGAGACTCACACTTATAATCCCAGCACTTTGAGAGGCCGAGGTGGGAAGACTGCTTGAGGGCAGAAGTTCAAGGCTGCAGTGAGCTGTTATTTATCATACCACTGCACTCCAGCCAGGGTGACAGAGAGAGACCCTGTCTCTCAAAGGCTGCATGACACGGGCAGATTTTTCAGCCTCTCCTTGCCCATTCTTTTTTATTTCTGGCAAATAAGGATAACATCTATGCTAACCCCTGAGGGCTTCTGCGAGAATTACATTCATGTAACGTACTTGAAACAGCACCTAAAAGGTAGAAAGCACTTGGCACAACTCCTCCATCACCCATCTGGGCAAGCCTGTAAGACTGGCACAATCTTCACTCACACTCAGGGGGCTGAAAGGAAAATTGCTGAATCCACTGTGTTCCTTGGCCAGGAGGCCACTATGTCAATCAGACCACACACCAAGGAACCTTTAGGAAATCAAAACTAGCATAAACCCTTGTTTCCTAACAAAAGTTTATCTGAAATGATTTAAGAAAATTATAAAGAATACAGCTGATCATATTTCCTAAAACTGTTCAATGTCTCTTTCATAAGGCCATGGCACCTTCTCCTTCAATGGCAGGAAAAATGGATTCTAATGAGCAAGTGGGCGTCCCTCATTCCAGGTAAAAGACCCTGTGGTTTTGTTAAAGTCCTCTAGCCCATGCGCCCCTGGCTGAGCAGTGGCAGAGGTAACGATGGTAACGATGGCCAGAGGTGATGATGATGAGCTGTCAGCAGTCACCATACGCATGGGCTCCTCTGCACTGGGCACTGTGGGGTCCTCAGCATGTGGACAGGTGGGCACCACACACTCCATGTCACAGGTGAAGTGAGGAAGATGCAGATGATATACAGATGACAATGACCTGGAGTTCCCAGCTGGTAGGAAAGGGTCATCCCCTTACCTTTGTGGATGGCAGGGCCGTTTTCCTGTGGGGACACCTTCTCAGTGCCAGGAGACCGGGGCACTTCCTTCTCCACCTGCTTCCGGGCCTCGCCCGCCTTCCGAGCCTGCTTGCACTTCTGGTCCAGCTGCTTGAGTTTTGCGGCACAGGCAGCCAGCCTCTCCTCCCGCGCTCGGCGCTCCTCTTCCTCCCGGCGTTTTCGGGCTCGTTCCACAGCCTCAGACATCTCTGACTGGATGAACTTCTGGCGTGGGGGCAGCTTGTCCTCCTTCTCCTCAATGGACTGTTGCCGGAACATGCTGCCCGTTGAGGGCTTCTGCCAAGAGAACAAAGTCTCTGGTGAGGTGGTGTCACAGACTGAGGGTGCAGGGCCACCCCACTCTAAGACTCTAGGCCCAGGATTCTCCAGCACCGTCGTGAGGCAGCACAGGCAGGCCTGGGTTTGAATCTTGCTCTTTCCTTCACTATACCTGAAATGCAGTGAGGGCAAGAACCAGATTTCAACACCTCTGTCCTCATTTGTAAAACTAGGATAACAAGGAAAGCCATTGGGACTGTGAAGGTGAAACGAAATGGTGTTTGCAAAGCATGCAATGCCACAACTGGCAAGGGAGCACTCGGGAGATGGGCGCTCTTGGCACAGCTAGCAGCACATGGAATGAGGGCCACCATGCCTAATGAGGAGCAGGGAGCCACTGTCACCACTCTGCAGTCACAAAATGGCCACTCCTGCCCCCATGGAAACAAACCCTCAGGTATAAAAAGCCATCAGAGAATAAGAGTCACTATCAGAAAACAGTTTCAAATGAAAAATTATGCATAAAACATCTCTTCCAGATATGTATCCATGCCTGAGTTTCTTTTTGGTTGGCAGTTACTGAGCAGACAGGGAACACGCCCCCGTCAGAAGCACAGCCATGCACAGTACATGCAGTGGGCAAGAGCTGCCTGGACCCTAGTCACCGAGAGTCCAGGTGATCTGATGATCAAAAAAATATAACTTTCTGTTTTTTGTTTGTTTAAGACAGAGTTTCATTCAGTTGACTTGGGGTTGAGTGCCGTGGCATTACTGCTCATAGCAAACTCAAACTCTTGGGCTCAAGTGATCCTCTTGCCTCAGCCTCCTGAGTAGCTGGGACTACCGGCACCCGCTATAACACCCGGCTATTTTTAGAGATGGGGTCTTGCTCTTGGCTCAGGCTGGTCTCAAAGTGATCCACCCGCCTTTGCCTCCCAGAGTGCTAGGATTATAGGCATAAGACACCACACCGACCTATGACTTTATTTTGAATGGTTGTTACACAGATGTATATACACAATTATCATAAATCATCAAACAGAAACAACCCAAAATCTATGCCTTTTCTTGTAGGTTAATTACACCTGCAAGAAACAGCACCCCATTTACTGTAGTCAAGGAGTTTTCTCCTAAAAATTAACTTCTTATAATCCACAGACAATCAATAAAAACCTAAGATACAAACTTGTGATTCAGAATCATGATGGTACAGTTTACATAGTATAACCAGGACCAAAGTGACTTTCCTTTCACTGGCCACTGAACATAAACATCTATGCGTATGAGTCACACAGCAGTCATGTCCCGACCCACACCAGAACACATCTCAGCCCAGTATTTAATTCACCACTGCAGACAAACCTTTGCACTACAGCCCTAACTTTCATTTGGTTTCCCACAAATGAGGCATCAGGCTCAGAGGGCCTACGTAAAGTGCCAAGACTCCTGACATGCTCCTCTCAACTGCCCTAAGATTAGCTATCACTCTATAACCTAAATGTTCTGTAAAAGGTTGGAACTGACTTTATTCAGTTAACTTAGTGTTGCTATGAGATTACAGTAAATGATTCTTTTGAATACTGAGCAACCCTAATAGATGAATCAAAATTCAGATTAACTGCAGAATAACGTCCAAGGAGTTAACACTATGTCAATTTTGTTTCACTTCTGTGTCCCCAATACACGGCATGCTGCCTGGCACAAAATAAGTACTCAATAAGAAGACTGACAGTGGCTCGGCACCTGTGGCTCAAGCGGCTAAGGCGCCAGCCACATACACCTAAGGTGGCGGGTTCGAATCCCCAGCCCGGGCCCGCCAAACAACAATGATGGCTGCAACCAAAAAAACAATGGCCAGGCGTTGTGGCGGGCGCCTGTAGTCCCAGCTACTTGGGAGGCTGAGGCAGGAGACTCGCTTGAGCCCAGGAGTTGGAGGTTGCTATGAGTGTGATGCCATGGCACTCTACCCAGGGGGATAGCTTGAGGCTCCGTCTCAAAAAAAAAAAAAAAAAAGAAGACTGACAGTAAGGGGCATCTTCATTTTATAAAAAGATGTGGGCCAGGCAAAGTAGCTCAGGCCTATAATCCCAGGATATTGGGAGGTAAGGTAGGAGGATCACTTGAGCTCAGGAGTCTGAGACTAGCCTGAGCAAGAGCAAGACTCTGTCTCTACCAAATTAGAAAAAGTGACCAGTTGTAGTGGTATATGTCAGGAGTTCCAGCTATAGGAACCTGAAGGAGGAGGATTACATGGGGCAAGGAGTGTAAGGTTCCAGTGAGCTACAAAAATTGTCACTGCACTCTACCTAAGGACACAAAGTAAGATAATCTCAAAAAAAAAAAAAAAATGGAATAAGAGCACTTTGAATAGCAAAGTGCATTGAAAATGTAAGTTTTAGCAAGCATATTAAAAATAATGCCTCTGCTCACCTGAATAGTTCAGTCCCAGGGTGATCAGGTATGGTCAAACAAGAGAGCTGTATGTCAGGTGCCAGGAGGTCGTGGTGGCTTGGTACAGGGGGTCAGAGCCTGGGCATGCTTGTAATCCCAGCACTTGGGAGGCCTAGGTCGGTATACTGCCTGAACTCACAAGTTCAAGACCAGCCTGAGCCAGAGTGAGACCCCATCTCTAAAAATAACTGGGCACTGTGGTGGGCACCTGTAGCTAGTTCCTTGGGAGGCTAAGGCAAGAGAATCACTTAAGCCCAAGAGTTTGAGGTTGCTGTGAGCTATGACGCCATAGCACTCTACCAAGGGTAACAAAGTGAGAATCTGTCTCTAAAAAAAGAAAAAAAGAGAGAGAGATCAAAATGCATTTTGTCAGAGTGTGACAGGGCGGAGGCATGGCCACCTGGCAGGGCACAATCAGAAGAGTCAGTGTGATGCCAGGGAGCTTCCTTCCGAGGGCAAAAACTCAGGCCTCATTGCAAGTGAGCATCAGACAAACTGAACACGGAGCTCCACTGGCCTGGAATGGCCAGAAGCTTCTGAGCCACAGAACAGGCGGAAAGGCTGAGGAAGTCATCACAACAGGAAGCGAGGAAAATGGGATTCTAAATTGGCTACGTGAGGACACTCAAGTAGCATGAGGTCTGCAGATTATGGCAGTGATGTGCCAAAGCTAATTACCTGCCTGGGGCTGCGGTTACCTTGAAGGAACATCCCTATTTTGGTAGTACAGTCTGTGGTGAGAGACTGGTAATTTATACTCTGCTATAAGTACCATACAAAAAACATATGGTGCTTACATTTTTTTCTATAATGTAGCTATTGCCCTAAAAAAAAGGTTTTTTTGTTTTGTTTTGAGACAGGGTCTCACTCCTTTGCCCGAGGCTAGAGTGCCCTGACATCAGCCTTGCTCACAGCAACCTCAAACTCCTGGGTTCAAGCAACCCTCCTGCCTCAGCCTCCACAGTAGCAGGGCCTACAGGCTCCTGCCGCAACACACAGCTAGTTTTTCTGTTTTTAGTAAAGATAGAGTCTCATACTTGCTAAGGCTGGTCTCAAACTCCTAAGCTCAAGCAATTCTCAGGCCTTGGCTTCCCAGAGTGTTAGAATTATAGGTGTTAGCCCCCATACCTAGCCTCAAAGTTTTTTTACTTACAAAAAGAAATGCCCACCTATGACTTTTCAGAAACCTATCCACTAAACTCAGTTTAGTACTTTGTCTTGGAACTGTGGTCAAATGAATTTGAAAAGGGTGCATGCGTGTGCACGCGCGCGCGCATGTATGGGTATATCCCAGCTAATCAGCCAGGCACCATACCTCTCAAGCCCCACATTACCTGGTAGTCAGGGCCTGATGCCCAGCCATGAAGCTTCCTGGAAGGGGGCTGAGGTTCTGGAACCTTTCGGACAACACGAGACATGCCCACTGCTTCGGCCCAGTCCTTGCCTTCCTCTTGAGTACGCTTGGCATCAGCACTGTCTGCAGAGCTCATCGACAATTGCCGCTGCCTTCTAGGGTCCCAGCCGTTCCTAAGACAAACCACATTTTGCGCTAAGTTTTCCAAGTCAGTCCAAGTGTGTCTGATCTCACCAAACAGAGGCCCTTGGGAACTCCAGAAGTCAAGTCACTCACATACCAAGTTCTTTCATCAGAATAGGGCCCCCCATTTCTTATGTGTGAACTCCAAAGTTCAGCACTATCATTTATTAAGGCAATCTTTTACACATACCCGGGCAGGATGTGCCACGTTTGTTGTTTTGCTGACTATTCACTACCCCCTCACTTTAAAGAGTCAGTGACTAAGTCTCAGAGAGGTTAAGGAACCATTCTCACCAGGTGGCGCTCACAGATTTGAACCAGGACTTCCAGATGCATGTTCCTCTCTTATACTATGGCTGCCCCTGTGTTCTGCACATAAAGTGCTCAATAAATGCTACTCAAAAGAACAGAAGACAGCCCACCAACTGATGCCAGGTTAAGGAGAACAAGAGGAGCAAAGTAAAGCACACACAGTGGGGAAAGAAGACAGATTCCAAGGCAGGTCTGTGCTGCACTCACCCTGACATGCTCCAGTGGAAGCTCAGACACTGGGCAAGAGACAGATGTGCATTTTACCAGTGTCCAGTACACCTGGCACAAGATCAGAGAAAAACATGGCCAGGTGTGGCTGACGCATGTGCCTGCATGCAATCACACACAGAAAAATGTACATGGAGGGGTCAGGAAGACAGGGAAGTAAGGTGGATTAGGAGGGGAGAGAAAAGGCAACAACAGCTACTAACTCTGACTTGACTTTTGTGAGCAACAGAGACCAAGTGAAAATTTCTGGCACATCAGTGAAGGTTTGTGTTTTTAGAAGATGAATACACAGAGTATGAAGGATGGGTCAGAAGGGGACAGGATGAAAGGATAGGGACAAACAGGCAGACCTCAGGATGGTCCCAGTGACAAGGAAAAGGAGAGAACAGAGGCAGAGGAGCCAATCAGATGTGAAGAAATAAAGACAATATCAAAGAAGACATGAAAGCTTATGATGCTGCTGGGTGCAGTGGCTCACACCTGTAAACCCCGCACCCTGGGAGACTGAGGCGGGTAGACTATCTGAGCTCACGGGTTCAAGACCAGCCTGAGCCAGAGGACACCTCATCTCTAAAAACAGCTGGGCATTGTGGTGAGCACCTGTAGTCCCAGCTACTCAGAAGCCTGAGATAAGAGAATCACTTGAGCCCAAGCATTTGAGGTTGCTATGAACTATGATGCCACAGCACTCTACCTGGAGTGACAAAGTAAGACTATCTCAAAAAAAAAAAAAAAAAAAAAAGGAACGAAAAAAGAAAAGAAAGCAAGCTTATAGTGAGTCTCTCAGAGCTAGATGGCATCCATTATCTCAGAGAGAACAATAAAGAGCTCCGTTCAGGAGGAAGCAGTTTGGGTAGTCTGTGTGTGAGGTGACCGTGGTCATGACAGTACCAAAGCTGGACCCAAAATCCAAGTCTAATTCCCCCTGTTGAATATTCAATTCACATTAGCTGAAACAGACAAGAAACGAAGTGTCCTTCTGCTCCAATGAGTAATAAGATTTTCTGTCTTTGCCTTTGATTTAAATCCTAGGTCACATCTCTGACGTTTAGTGGACTGCATCCAAAGCTTTGGATGAGAATAAACAGCATGGAAATAAATGACAGGAGCCTCAACTAGTTCACTGTTTGCATATCATCAAAAAAAGAGGAGCAGATTGTCACCAGCTCCTTCCAGAAGAGGGGACTACAGGAGTTTTGAAGTGAAAGATGAAATAACAGCAAGAAACAGACTTGAAGACTTGACTTCATAAATAATCACTTATAGACACACACACTCACACACACAAAAGCAACATAACAAGGTATGAATATCTACTAAACAATATAAAACATTAATCATATCTTTTTTTTTTTTTTTTTTAAGAGACAGAGTTTCACTTTATCGCCCTTGGCAGAGTGCTGTGGTATCACAGCTCACAGCAACATCCAAACTCCTGGGCTTACGTGATTCTCTTGCTTTAGCCTCCCGAGGCACCTGCCACAATGCCTGGCTATTTTTTTGTAACAGTTTGGCCAGGGCCAGGTTTGAACCCATCACCCTTGGTATACGGGGCCAGCGCCCTACTCACTGAGCCACAGGTGCTGCCCTTTTTGGGGGGCAGTTTTTGGCCAGGGCTGGGTTTGAACCCGCCACCTCCAGTACATGGGGCTGGTGCCCTACACCTTTGAGCCACAGGTGCTGCCCAGTCCTATCTTACTAAATGGGATAAATATGTAAAGGAAATAGACAATTCCATAAAGGAAATTCCATAATGGAAAGCATGCTTATATGCTAGTACTCAACAAAATGCAAATTACAGCAACTATATGTATTAGTCAATAGTAGTACCAGCTGACACTACTGACACTACTATCAAAACTGGAAGGCTCCCTATAGTCTCAGCTACTCAGGAGGCTGAGGCAAAAGAATCACCTAAGCCCAGGAGCTGGAGGTTGCTGTGAGCTGTGTGATGCCACGGCACTCTACTGAGGGCAATAAAGTGAGACTCTGCCTCTACAAAAAAAAAAAAAAAAAAAACCTGAAGGCTCAGAGCACAATGCAGTTACTTCCCAAAGGGCACTCAGTAAAGCAGTGAATGCAAAAAGAGAGAGAAAAGATTCCAGTGGTCAAATGAGTATGGACTATGTGGCTCAAGTCTAATTCATGGCTGCGCCCACATCCCCCACCTACTTCAGCATACTAATGGCTCTGGGAGACCTCCCAGTAGAAGGAAGCTGACCCCAGGTGGTTTCCCAAACCTGCTTGACCAAAGAAGCTTTTTGGGGCTTGATATCCACAAACATCCACAGAGGTGGGCTGGATAACTCACTCAGGAAACTCTGGCAAGACAGGTAAGAGGTTCACTGACCAGAGGACTCAGGTGTGCCTCATACAATCCTGGCTCCACTCCTTTGTAGCTACCCCCAGTAGCTGTCATCCCATAGTAAAATGGAAACAACATCTGCCCTCTGAGGTTGCTGTGGAAACCAGGAGATGCACATGCCACAGAGACTAGCACACAGCAGCACCAAAGAGCACAAGCTCCTAGTGGCGCAGGCGAGACTGGGGCAATGCGGGAAGCAGGGCAGGGAGCCTTACCACTTGGGCCTGCCATCCTTCACAACTTCTTCCTCCTCCTCATCATCACTGAACTTCAATTTCTCAGAATAGTCCACTTCTTCATGGAGGCCTGCAATAAGAGGGGCCAGGAGGAATGAGGAAAAGGCAGGAATGTCAGCAGGGCACCCTGGGCAGGCACCAGAGCAAAGCCTCCCTCTGTTGGAAAGTACAGCACCCCAAGGGAGAATGGAGGACACAGCAGCCAGCTGCCTGCACTAGGACAAGTGAAAGGCAGCAGGGGCTTCTGGTATGAGAAAAGTAGCGAAGTTGGACTGGCTCTCCCACAGATGTCAATTTTTAATCTGGAAGAAGGTCAGGTGCGGTGGCTTACACCTGTCATCAATCCTAAAACAACTGGGAGGCTGAGGCAGGTGGACTGCTTAAGTTCAGGAGTCTGAGACCAGCCTAAGCAAGAAAAAGATCCCACCTCTACTGAAAATATAAAAACTAGCCAGGCATTGTGACAGGTGCCTGTAGTCCTAGACACTTGTAAGGCTGAGGCAGCAGGATTGCTTAAGCCCAAGAATTAGAGGTTACTGTGAACTATGAAACCACAGCACTCTACTCAGGGGCTACAGAGTGAGACTCTATTTAAAAAAAAAAAAAAGTTAAAATCAAATAAATCTGGTTTTGTTGTTGTTATTGTTTTCGTGAGACAGAATCCCAAATTGTCACCCTGGGTAGAGTGCCGTGGCATCACAGTTCACAGCAACCTCCAACTTGGGCTCAAACTATACTCTTGCCTCAGTCTTTCTATTTTTAGTAGATACAGGGTATCACTTTTGCTCAGGCTGGTCTGGAAGTTATGAGTTCAAGCAATCCACCAGCCTTGGCCTCCCAGAGTGCTAGGATTACAGGCATGACGCCACCATGCTTCACCAATAAATAAATAAATCTGAACAAAAAAAAATTTTTTTTTTGAGCCTCAAGCTGTCACCCTGGGTAGAGTACCCTGGCATCACAGCTCACAAGAACCTCCAACTCCTGGGCTCAAGTGAGTCTCCTGCCTCCGCCTCCCAAGTAGCTGGGACCACAGGCGCCCACAACAATGCCCGGCTATTTTTTGGTTGCAGCCGTCATTGTTGTTTGGCGGGCCTGGGCCGGATTCGAACCCGCCACCTTAGGTGTATGTGGCTGGTGCCTTAGCCACTTGAGCCACAGGTGCTGAGCCTGAACAAAATATTTTAAAAATGTGTATCAAGACACAAGGAAGTCCACAAAGCAGGCAGAAACCAGACAGGAGTCTAGTCTGAAAGTACAGGCTAGACTAGAGTACAGTGTTCAGGCTAGAGTACAGTGAGATCATGATAGCTCACTGTAGCCTCAAACTCCAGAGCTCCGGTATTTCCCCTGCATTAGCCTCCCAAGTAGCTGAGACTACAGGTAACATGACATGACACTGGTCTAATCTTTTTTTTTTTTAATTAGTTTTAGTAGAGATGAAATCTCACTCATGCTCAGGCAGATGTCTAACTCCTAAGCTCAAGTAATCCTCCTTCATCAGCCTGCCAGAGTGCTGGTTAGCCACAGCACCTCACCAAATTTTTCTATCTTTTATAGAGGCAAGGTTTCACTGTGCTTGCTCAAGATGGTCTGAAACTCCTGGACTCAAAATAATCCTCCTGCTTCAGCCTCCCAAGTGCTGAGATTATAGTGTGAGCCTCCACCAACAGCCTAAATAATCACTTTAAAAAAACAAACACAAAGGTCAGGCACAGTGGCTCACCCCTGTAATCCTAGGACTCTAGGAAGCCAAGGCAGGATTCTGAGACCAGCCTGACCAGGAGCAAGACCCAGTCTCTAGAAATAGCTCAAGGTCAGGCACAGTGGCTCATGCCTATAATCCTAGCACTCTGGGACATGTAGGCAGGTGGATCATCTGATCTCACAGGTTTGAGACCACCCTGACCAAGAGCAAGACCCTGTCTATACTAAAAATAGAAAAACTGAGCCAAGAGGATCACTTGAGCCCCAGAGTTGGAGGCTGCTATGAGCTATGAGGCCATGGCACTCTACCCAGGGCAATAGCTTGAGTCTCTGTTGCAATAAACAAAATACAAAAAAAAAAAAAAGAAAAGAAAAAAGAAAAATAGCCAGGTGTTGTGGCAGATGTCTGTAGTCCAGCTATTCAGGAGGCTAAGGCAAGAGAATAGCTTAAGCCCAAGAGTCTGACATTGCTGTGAGCTGTGACGCCATAGCACTCTACCAAAGGCAAGAAAGTGAGACTTTGTCTCAAAAAAAAAAAAAAAAAAAAAAAAAAAACCAGAAAAACTAGGTTTGTAGCTCACTGAATAGGATGCCGGCCATATACACCCAAGTTGGTGGGTTTGAGCCCGGGCCAGGCCTGCTAAACAACAATGACAACTGCAACCAAAAAATAACTGGGCACTGCAGCAGGTGCCTATAGTCCCGGCTACTTGGGAGGCTGAGGCAAGAGAATCGCTTAAGTCCAAGAGTCTGAGGTTGGTGTGAGCTGTGACGCCACAGCACTCTACCAAGGTCACCTCAGCTTTTCTTTTAACTCATCTGTGTTTATATTTATTTATTTATTGTGTCTCAAAAAGAAAAAAAAAGAAAGAAAGAAAGAAAAGAAAAATAGAAAAACTGGTCAGGTTCTACGGTGGGTGCCTATAGTCTCATCTACTTGGGAAGCTGAGGTAATAAGATGGCCTGAGCACAGGAGTTTGAAGTTGCTGTGAGCTATGATGCCACAGTATCTACCCAAGGCACAGAGTGAGACTCTGCCTTAAAAAAAAAAAAAAAAAAAAAAAAAATTCCAGACAGAGATCCCCACTGGTGAATTATTTTGAGCTTTTGAAATAGAAATGATACCCATCTTGCAAAAACACCTTAGGAAGACAGGGGAAGAAGGAACATTACAAACCCACTTAATGCATAACTAGTAAAACAAAACCCAACAAAGATAGTAAAAGAAAATCAGAGACCAACATCCCTCACAAAGAACCTTAATAAAATACTACCAATTTGAATCCAAGCATACAAAAATGTAGGATTTATTCCAGGAATGCAAGGTTGGTTTAGTATTTAAAAAAAAAAAAATTAATGCAATCTATCGTATTATCAAAATAAAGAAGAAGGCTCAGCGCCTGTGGTTCAAGTGGCTAAGGCGCCAGCCACATACACCTAAGGTGGTGGGTTCAAATCCAGCCTGGGCCCGCCAAATAACAATGACGGCTGCAACTAAAAAATAGCCGGGTGTTGTGGTGGTGCCTGTGGTCCCAGCTACTTGGGAGGCGGAGGCAGGAGACTCACTTGAGCCCAGGAGTTGGAGGTAGCTGTGAGCTGTGAT